CAAGGCCTAACAGTGAAGGTCGTCTACTTTGGAGGGAATGGAATTCACTGGGGGCATGAGCAGGGGTCTTAAGAACTCATCCAACTGTTTGGCACCCACCAGAGCAGCCCCACTGGGGACAGGGCTTCCACCTCCCCAACATGCCTAGCTCACTGACCCCAAGCCCAGCCAATAGGTGGTGGTGGTCTCTACTTGCATCAGGTTGCTCAGTTGACATGACAGAGTACTGAGGAGAGGGTGGCTTGAGTAACAGAGATGTCTGCAAGGATGTAGAGGCCAGGAGTCTGAGTCATGATCATCAGGGTTGGTTCTCTGAGGTCCTTTTCCTTACCTGAAGCTTTCTGTCTTCTCCCTGTGTCTTCCCATGGCTTTCTTTCTGAGTATGTGTCCAAATTTTGTCTTCTTATAAGGATTCCAGTCAAGTTGAATTAAGACCATTGCTAAAGGCTTCATAAATTGTTCCTTCTTTAAAGACCCAGTCTTCAAATATAGTCGCATTTTGAAGGACTTCAGGTGAGGACCTCGAGTATGAATTTTAGGGAGATAAAAGTCAGCCTGCAGCTCTCATAGTGGGTTTCCCTGTTTCTTTTCACTTTGGGAAATAATTTTTAATAAATGAAATATTCTTATGGCAAGGTCACAATGACCAGTATGAAGAATATTTGATTCATGTTCAATATGAATAAAAATTACACTTATTTTCTAACTTTTAAAAAAGAAGAAGTTCTAATTAGTTATTAGTTCTAATAACTAATGTTATTAGTCTCTATTTCCAGATGGAAGTGATCATAAAAGTAGACTATAGAAAATGTTCCATACATAAGCTAACACTGTCACAAAAGTTCCTGTATGAGGGACTTTCAGAAAAGTCCTTATATAGAAGACTATAAAGGCTGATTAATGAGTACTGGGCTTTTTTTTTTTTTTTTTTTGGCATAGTTAACTGATGAAATCAATAGTTTCATTTAGTGATAAAATATGACTTTCAGAGAATCTCTGTACATACTCATCATCAATTCTAATTGATAACCAAAGAGTAAATAAAATGACCTCTGATTAAGAATTAGGTGGTCTGCATTTGCACCCCAGTTTTGCAGCATCTTGTCCACTGTCCTGAAGGAAACGTGGCAGCTTTATCTTGGCCTCAGTTTCCTGCCTGTGAAGAAAGGTTTGGCCTGCACACCTTCATAAGGTGACAAAGAAACTACAACAGAGTTTGGGTATTTGCTAGCTGACCCCAGACATTCTCTAAGTGAGGATCCAGAAGAGATATACCCAAGTAGGCATATCTCTTCTGGATATGCCCACTTAGGTCCCCAAGTGGGTTCTCCTCAGGGAGTGCCATGGCTCTGCAGCCCAGCTGTGGCCTTACTGGTGTAATACTGGACCTTGAAACTGCAAGACCATCGGGAGGAAATTAATTTCTGAAAGAGCCCCTTCTAGAAGCCCATTCTGATGTTTCTATAACATGTATGTTGCCTAATGCAGCTGTCCCAATAATCCTGTGAGGCAGGAATTCTGATCCTGTTTACAGATCCAGAAGCTGATGCTCATAGAATAAGCATAACTTCCCCAAGACATACAGCTTGTAAGTGAAAGAAGGATGCATATAAAGCCCAGATTGCATGATGACGCCTTTAGGTCCCTGCCACTCTGCTGTGTTCCACAAGACAGAGACCAAGCGATGCCCCCAAGGATGTGCATATGTGTTTGTTTACAGTGAGGGCAGATGTGACACTCATTCCAGATTCTGGGTCTAAACACCAAGTTGGAATTGATAGTCAATAAAAGAAATTTACTTAGGGAAAACACCTGAGAGGAAAATGGGAGGGAACCAAAGGAACTAGAAGAACCATCAAACCGTGGCTCAGGTCTGACCCCAAGTTAAAGAGACAAGGAAGGAAGAAAGGAAGGGAGTGGGGAAGGAAGGAAAGGAAGGTGTGTTGGTTAGGTGCTCATCACTGTGACCAAAACACTGACGAAGAACAACTTAGAAGAGGAAAAATTTATTTTGAACTCCCGGTTTCAGAGGTTCACCACTTGATTTGTCAGCTCCATTGCTCTGGGCCTTAGGTAAGGGGAGCATCATGGCAGAAGGACATAGCAGAGGAAAGCTGCTCAGCTCATGGTGTCCAGTAAGCAGAGAGAGAGAAGGAGGAGCTGGGGGACAAGATATAACCCCCAAAGGCATGTCCCCAGTGACCCACCTCCTTGAGTCATGCCCTCCCTGCCTTCAGTTACCACCCAGCGAGTCCTTTTAGATTATCAATCTATCAAATGAACTCATCCACTCACTGGATTACAGCTTGCATAGTCTAACTGTTTCACCCCTAAACATTCCTTCATTAACACAGGAAACACTAATATTCCAACCATAACATAAGGAAGGAAAGGAAGGAAGGGCAGGTGAGCAGGCAGTGGAATGTCTTAGACTTAAGCAGAATTCATCTAGACAATCAGAGAGTTCTTGAGCCCAGCCACCCTTCAAATGAACCATATCTCCCAGGAACAAGTCCACCTTGCCACTGCCGCTGATCTCCTCTGTGGCTGGGAGCATACAGGGAAGAGGAAGCCCGAGCATAAAAGAAGGCAAGGAAATAGACTTCAGGGTGCAGCAGCCAGCGCCCGTCAGTCAATGGCACTCCTGCAATCAGTGATCTGAGTGGTGTGTTTTCATTGAGTGACACATCAGATAACCTTTTGATAGCACTTCCCTTCTGTACACACTAAGCTTATAAAATGCTGTGTTATCATCAGGAAGCTACTGGATATAATATAAACATGAGTTGTATGAACCAACATTTGGTTCTGTTGGGGTACATTCTTTCAGACCCCTACCCTGTTCCAGGCCCTGTGGTAGATGCTGCAGGTGATGGAGAGAGGATGAATCTGTGGAATTTGTTGTTGGAAGCCCTGAAGAACATCATTAAAATAAGATAGTCTGATGTGTAGGTCCACACCTGGCTGCCCTGGAGTGGGCAAGTTGGGGTGTCTTCCCAAATTAGTGCCTCAGGAGATAATAATATTGTTTAATTTCCATGGCTTCAACTTCTTCTTACTGACACACTTTTTTTACACATAAAAAGTTTTTTTTTTTTTTTTTTTTTTTTGCCATTAACTAGTCTAAAATTTATGTCTTAGAGCTCCTGAGCTTTCCATCTTCAGGATTTTATATCTCCTTATCCTTTCCAAAACAAAAAGTATGAAAGGTTTTCTTTTTTTTTTCAAATCTTCAAAAGATCTTCCTATCCCCCCCGCCCCCCACAAAAGACTACTAGATTTGTGCAAAGTTCTTTCTGGCATTTACGTTTCCTGGAAGAGTAATAGGGATTATTTCTTTCTAAATGTTATGTTTTTTCCTCCAAGCTAGAAAAATAAATACAATGATTTTACCTTAAATATAAATGATGAATATAAAACATCCATCAAGCTAGTCCATCTTAAAGTTTCTAAAATTTATTTCTGCAAATTTAATCTACTTAATTATGAAAACTTACAGGCTCTAACTAAAATTTGTTTTATATTATTTACTCTATAATTTATAAAAATGGGCTTTTTTAAGAAATGAAGAACAAATATTAAATTTTATCTTTTTGCTGTGAATTCTCATTTTTCCTATCAGAATATGAATATTTAGATCTTTCCATTAGTATGAACAAATGACTTACTATAAAAAAAGTTTCAATGAAAAGTTTAGCTAATTCTCAATTGATATACCCTGATTTTTAACATTTATGCCTATAAAACATTGGTTTACAGGATGTTAATCCCTGATAAATATAAAGCTGATTCATTTCTAAAATTCTTTATAACTTCTTCATATTAGAAATATAATTTTTCTTCCTGCTGTCCCTCAAATCATATTTCATTGCATAAAGAGTAGCTTCCATAGAGGAGAAGCAAAGAAATTAGTCTACTAACCATAAATTAAAGAAGAATTCTGTACCATTGGTCCACCCGCCTGTTTTGGTACCAGTACCATGCTGTTTTTGTTACTATTGCTCTGTAGTATAGTTTGAAGTCTGGCATCGCTATACCGCCTGATTCACACTTCCTGCTTAGCATTGTTTTTGCTATTCTGGGTCTTTTATTTTTCCATATGAATTTCATGATTGCTTTCTCTATTTCTACAAGAAATGCCATTGGGATTTGATTGGCATTGCATTAAACCAATAGAGAACTTTTGGTAATATCGCCATTTTGATGATGTTAGTTCTGCCTATCCATGAACAGGGTATATTTTTCCATCTTCTAAGATCTTCTTCTATTTCTCTCTTTAGGGTTCTGTAGTTTTCATTGTATAAGTCTTTCACCTCTTTTGTTAGGTTGATTCCCAAGTATTTTATTTTTGAGGATATTGTGAATGGAGTGGTTGTCCTCATTTCCATTTCAGAGGATTTGTCGCTGATATACAGGAATGCCTTTGATTTATGCGTGTTGATTTTATATCCTGCCACTTTGCTGAATTCATTTATTAGCTCTAATAGTTTCTTTGTAGACCTGCTACAGGGACACTGCTACATTGATGTTCATAGCAGCACAATTCACAATACCAAGACTGTGGAACCAACCTAGATGCCCTTCAATAGACGAATGGATAAAAAAATGTGGCATTTATACACAATGGAGTATTACTCTGCATTAAAAAATGACAAAATCATAGAATTTACAGGGAAATGGATGGCATTAGAGCAGATTATGCTAAGTGAAGCTAGCCAATCCCTAAAAAACAAATGCCAAATGTCTTCTTTGATATAAGGAAAGTAACTAAGAACAGAGTAGGGACGAAGAGCATGAGAAGAAGATTAACATTAAACAGGGATGAGAGGTGGGAGGGAAAGGGAGAGAGAAGGGAAATTGCATGGAACTGGAAGGAGACCCTCAGTGTTATACAAAATTACATACAAGAGGAAGTGAGGGGAAAGGGAAAAATAATACAAGGGGGAGAAATGAATGTCAGTAGAGGGGGTAGAGAGAGAAGAGGGGAGGGGAGGGGGGATAGTAGAGGATAGGAATGGCAGCAGAATACAACAGACACTAGTATGGCAATATGTAAATCAATGGATGTGTAACTGATGTGATTCTGCAATCTGTATACAGGGTAAAAATGGGAGTTCATAACCCACTTGAATCAAAGTGTGAAATATGATATATCAAGAACTATGTAATGTTTTGAACAGCCAACAATAAAAATTAAAAATAAATAAATAAATAAATAAAAATTAAAGAAGAATGACTAGCCAGTTTTACTAATAGCATACATACTAAGTCTCTACAGTCTTTTAACCCATCTGTTTTCATGCCATTTCTCTTTTCCCTGATCAGAATGGCATTATTTTAAAATAAAGTCAGAAAGGGAAGGTACTAGGGAATGAGATTGATCAGATTATGTTATGTTCATGTACAAATGTGATGCAATGAATTCATTATTCTAATGTCTAATTTTAATGCACCAAATAAAATAAATTAACAAAATAGCCAAGCCATTTACCAGATTTGGGACAAAACAATCAATGAGGTGATTGCAGTGAACAGATAGCAGACTGTAGGTGGAGTGCCCTCCATCAAACTCAGATGGAAGTCTTCAGCTTGCAGGTGTGAGTCCTCTTGGAGGAAAAGAAACCTGAGCCATGGGAGCCACAGAAGGCATTCAATAAGCACCAGTTCAGAGGTTACCGCCCAGCCTCTTTTAAATGTAGAGTGAAGAGCGGGATGCTCAAGTTCATGCTGCGTGCATCTCTTGATCATCACGTACAATGCTGCTCATTCTGGAAACAGGATCATTCTTTGCCCCTTCATGGTCTTTTTCTTGAGTCTGGTGGACCCTTAATTAACAAAGAAGATTTTGCATTAAACTTTCATTGTTCCTTATTTGATGCAGAATATTTGGAAGAGTAGAAAGTCTCCAGTTGCCATTCTGTCTTCATGGGCCCCCTTTCAGGGTTAATGACTTCCTCATGTGGGCTTAGTGCTGTCCTCAGGAGTTACACTGGGCCTTTGATGGATCGCTGCAGGGCAAAGGCTGATGAGCAAGTCTGGTTCCCTAGGTCCCTTGGGTTCTGGGTTTCTCTCAATCAGCCTTTGCACCTGTGAGGTGGAGAAGAAAGGTGTAGGGTCTCGGAACATGACTGCTGATGGTGGTTGGGGATTTCATAGGAAGCAGAGGTGCCTTGGGGTGAGCTGGGGTTCCTGCACTGGGTTCCTGCCTGGCATGATGAGCCTAGGATGCGTTTCTGTAATGAACTCATCATCATCTCATACAAAGCTTCTCATTCTGGAATCAGGAAGCTCCTGAATGTAGGGATCCTTATTCCTCCATTCTTATCTAGAGTTCTTGTTCTGAACTGACTGGAGTCTCTGGAAATACCAATTTAAAAGTTTTCCTGCATTAGAAGAGCCAAAGGGAGGACAGCCCTGCCCAGATTGCATGCTCAGTCTGCATGTTCTTGCCTGGGAAAGCTTTAAACAAAGAAGAAACATTTAGTAATAATGTGTGCAAATGAGTTGACAGCCCTCAACCCTGGGCTGTCAGGACACTGTGTTTCTCTGTGTCATAAATTCATTTTTCAGTTGTTCAGTCTGCTAAGTGAAAGGACAGATGTGCCAAGAGTTCAGATTAACCCCGTGTCCTGCATTATTGTTCCATAGAGGTACAGACACATCATTATTCCCTATTAACAGGCTCTAAACCAGCAAGGAAGATGTGCTATGGATGCACTGATGAGAGTTAATAAATTCTTACAACTAATTACTTCTCTCTTAAGGTAACTTGTTACCAGAAAGTAGCTGTGTTTGCACAAAGATTTTTATGTGAGAATGGCCATACCCAGGAACAGGCAAGCTGATTAATCATCCTCCATAATTCTCCATAATAGTCCTATCTGGACTTTCATGTCCAGAGCATTGTTCTTCCTGGAGCTGCATTTAGCCTGACCTTAATTGGGACCTGCAATGTAATTGCTAATTGCAGGCTAATTTATATAAACAAACAAGGATTCTGCCAAATGAGTGTTGTCACCAGGTCTGGAATGTAATGCATGCTCTTGTACCTCTCTTTTGTGCACAGGTTTGGGTCAGGCGGTGGGAGCAAATGAAGCTTACTGGAAAACATAATTATTTCAAATCAGAACAAAAAGCATGTCCTTTTAAGGCCTGCCAGGAGGTGTGGTGTGTGGCCTGTCACATTAAGTGAGTGTTCACGCTTTCTGGAGGAGACTGACTTAGTCCTTTGCTCAAAATCTGACTGGGCCTGAAGGGCAGTCTTTCCCCTCAACGTGTATGAAAGCAGTGCTGATAAGCTTCTTTCTAGAAGAGAAAGGAACTTTACTTATTTCTCCTCTCCAGGCAGCACTGTCATCCTGGCTAGCAAATATGGTTAAATGTCATTTGTCCTTGACCCCTGTCACTCCTGAGCAGCTGAAATAGATTAAGAGGCTGGCACTTCCTAAATCAGATGGAGCGGAATGTCCTCAGCCGGACCTGTGGTAATAGGCTTACAAAGAACCAATGCCGGAGTTTATTAGGACTTTCCAGGGCTTATTCCTATTGGAGGGGAGATTATTGAGACAGATTATCCTCTTGTTTCCTCTCAAGCACCCAGCCTGGATGCTCTGCAGGCTGAGATTCTCCCACGCGAATCCCAAAGATACGAAAACTGAGAATGAAGGTGCCAAAGTGTCCAGATGGCCACTGTGGACAGGGATGCTTTTGGAGAAAAGGGTCCTTTATGTCTCACCTCTCAGGCTTCCTCTCTCTCTTTAGAAACTTACTGAGCTATGAAGACTTTTATGTAGAAGAAGTCAAAGGCCAAGGAGCACAATGAACCATGGAGATCAGATTATCCTGGCCTGTGGGCAAATCTGACTAACAGCAACAAGGAGACTCTCTGCCTAGTGGATGACTATTTGGGTCCTGTCACAAACCCCTCCCCTTAGAAATTTCTCCCCTTCATATTTTTTTTTTATTAAAAATAAAAAAAATAGATGAAATTCATACAACATAAAACTAACCATTTTTAAGTGAACAAATCAGAGAAATGTAGCACATTAAAAGGTAGTACAAACCACCTTTATCTGATTCCAAAAGAGATTCATCACCCCAAAGAAACCCCCAGAGCTACTAAGTAGTTACCACTATATCCTTTCCCCTAGACCTGGCAATTACCAATGCATGCACTATCTCTATGAAAGTACGTGTTTTGCATATTTCATATGAATAGAATCACAACACATAAGGCCTTTGACTGGCTTTTTTAGGTATAACAATGTATTCAAGATTCATCCATATTGTAGTATGCTTCAGTACCTCAGTCTTTTTTTATGGCTGAATAATAGGCCATCGTTTGAATGTACCATATTTTATGTATCTGCTCATTCATTGATGGAAATTGGCCTGTGTCCACTCTTTGGCCACTGTGAATAGTGTATTATTAACATGCATATAGGTATTTGTCTTCAATTCGTCTGGGTAGTTAATGTGGAGCAGAGTTGCTGGATCATATGTAACACTATGAATAGCATCTCGAGTAACCACCAAACTATTTTCCACAGCTCTTCTGTATACTCTCTGGTGTGGCCACCTCCATTATGTCTTTGAGTTGAGACTCTTCTTTTTCATTCATTATCTTCCTTTTCATTTATCTTCATACCAGAGAAGGGTTTTGCCCTGTTTAGTAGATTATTGGGACAATGGCCTTGATGTCACTCACCCTGAATCCATGTTTGCAATAGTGACCCATCACCTCTGCTCTATGCAGTAAGACTTTTTTTGCTATTTTTAAAATTTGTTCCTATTAGTTATACATAACAGAATGCACTTTGACACATCATACATAAATGGAGTATAACTTCTCATTTTTCTTGTTGTACATGATTGTGGACTCACACCAGTTGTGTAATGATAGTACATCGGGTAATAGCGTCCAATTCATTCTACTATTCTTCCTAATCCCATGGCTCCTCCCTTTCCTTCTCTCCCCTCTATCTAATCCAAAGTACTTCTGTTTTTCCCTAGCTCCCACACTTATTGTAAATTAACATCCACATATCAGAGAAAACATTCAGCCTTTGGCTTTGGGGGGACTGGCTTATTTTGCCTAGCATGATAATTCACTAGCTCCATCCGTTTACCAGAAAATGCCATCATTTTATTATTCTTTAAGGTTGAGTAATATTCCATTGTGTATATACACCACATTTTCTTTATCCATTCATCTGTTGAAAGATACCTAAGTTGGTTCTGTAGTTTAGCTATTGTGAGTTGAGCTGCTATAAACATTGATGTGACTGTGTCCTTTGGTTATAAACAGAGTTATGGGATAACTGGGTCAAATGGTGGTTCCATTCCAAGTTTCCTGAGGAATCTCCATCAGTGAGATCATTTCAGCTCAGGATGCCCACACATGACTCCCACCATACCGAGAACTTTATTCCCACCTCTTTACCTTTATATCAACTTAAATGATCCCTATTCAGAGATACTTTCCTTGCCAGTTTGCCCCCATGTAAATCAGTGTGGCCTTGAGGCATTTCCAAGGCACCCTGGGCTTCTGCTCCAGTCCTTGTCATAATTTGGAATGTCATCCTTGCCTGGGGGCTAGGGTTGGAACCTGGGTGCTCCACCAACTGCCTTCTCAAGCATGAGAGACTCACATCTTTATTACTGTAGAAATAATCTCTTTCACTGGAACAATTTCTGGCACCTTGTAGACCCCTGGTAAGTAGCTGCTAAATAAATGAGCGAGTGATGTATGAGGGAATGGCCCTTCCCTCGCTGCTAAGTTATCTGATACCCATCCAGTGCTCATTGTCACCAAGGCAAGGGACCTTTCCACACTGCTGGTTCCCTTGGGATCAATGGCAGAGATGAAGTCACGGCATGGCCACCCCTTTCCATGTGAGACTTATCCCTTGGTTAGAGCCACATGCCTACTTGTTTTCCAGCATGGGCATATGTGATATTTCTGCCAAGTGAAAACAGCTTCTCAATTATTTTTGTCAAACAGAAGACTGAATTTTCTCTTGGAGAGCTGTCACTGGCCTGTTGAGTACATTTTGTCCTTGCAGTTTGCTCAGATAGCTCCTGGTTCTTAGGATACTGGATTCCTCATCTGCCTCATTTGGAGGAAGCTATTGGACTGTCACCTTAACAGTACTGTTTAAAAATCCATAAATAATATCACTAGAGTGCTTTATAGGGGTAAAAACCCTCTTTAATAATTCTGATCATTCCTTAATCCTCAGGACAGCCTTACAAATGATATGTTTTCCTCCAACTTTAAATAAGAAAAAAACTTACCTGGTTGGCCATTTATCCTGGCATTTTTGGTGGAAAACCATGCACCAGGCTTCCAGCCTGGGCTTCTGAATCTGGACAGAAAGCTTTCCTCCTGGTGCTTCCCTGCTGTCAGCCTGTCCTTGCTGATCACTGTGGTCAGACACCCCATACCCCCAGGCGATAAGTAGAACAGCTATAACCATCTCATGTTCTTCTTGGCTAAGTGCTACATCTAAAGCTTGCATAAAATGGATGATCACTCTTCCTCTGCACAAGCATATATTGAATTTCTAGTATGTGCCCAGGATTTTGCTAAGTATGGTAGAAACAAAGATAAGAATTTATGACCTTAAAGAGTTGAGGGAAACCTAACCCATGGTGCATAATGGGTGCACCTAGTGCTGTTAAAAAACACCGTGGAGAACTGGGAGGACCCCAGTGCCTTCTCCTACAGGACTCTAAGAGGACCTCTCAGGTGATGGTCCTGCTGAGGGGGTTGGAGAGCAGGCCAGGCTGAAAGATCCAGGGGCAGGAGGGGCACAGTACCTGTGTGCACTTTTGGGGGCCAGCAAGTGGCTCTGTGTGGCTCGCCAGGGAGAGGTTGACAAAGAGGGTCCTGAGAGGGGACAGGTTAGTGGGAGTTGAGGTGGGTCAGGAAGGAGGGTCATGTTTCTGTGGAACCATGGAAGCTTGACTAGCAGGAAGTGCCTCTGTGCTCTAGAAATGTGGCAGTGCTCACAGAGGGGAGGAGGATACAGGGGAGATTAGGTGGTGGCATGGGGCAGGAGGGACCTAGGATAGCACTGGGCCCCTTTGCTGATCCTGGACTGTGTCCTAGAAGCTACAGAAAGAGCATCAGTCAGGGACAATATCTTTGAGGTGCACGTGATGTTGATATGAGGTGAAATCCAACTGTATAGTAGCCGCATCCATTCCCGAACTGACTGCAGACCTCGGCTGGGTAACTGGGGTCACTGAGGCAGCAGCTCTGTGTCTCAGTGTCTCTGTCTGTAAATGGGAATGTGCCTGCCATGCAGGGCTGGGTTGAAGCTAAAGCGAGGCGGAATGAGCTATGCCAGGTTGGAGCCCATCTTTACCAAAAATGGTGATATGTTCATTATGGATTTTTTTGCAACAATTTTGATGAAAAGTTATTTCCTTAAAATATTATTTATCACAACCATGTGATCACACACAATACTACTAAACTATATAAAATGGTTAAGAAGGTAGTTTTGTGTCTGTTTTACCCAAATTTTATGTACATTAAAATAATTAATGAATTTTTTTAATGCCCTCTTAGCATTCCGAGCTGTAACAGACAGTTGAGTTTCCATCTGTGTCCTGTGTCATATTTTTCAGTGAATCCTGAACTTGGCAGAAAAAAAGGGGTTTGATTATTGGGCTGCCAAGTCAATAATTGAGCCTGAGTGATAATAATGTGTGACAACACATGTGCTGGAATGAGCAGAGGATTTCCCTATTTCTCCCCACACTGGTGTCTCACATCCATGTCCTTCCCTGGATGCTGAGGTCACAAGTCCAGATTGCCCTGGACACTGTGGTCATATATCCAGCTTCTGAGGGTTATACTAACTTGGAACCTGACTGGCCTGGAAAATAGGTTGGAATTCACAACACCCTCCATTGACAGTCTTTGAATTCAAGATAAATATGCAAATACATTTGTCAAGATCACAGTGCAGAATTTCTAAACAATTTCAGAAATAATTTTGCCTCCAGTAAAAGTAAGGCTAAAGAAGATATTTTGAGTAAGAATCAATGAGAATGCATTCTTAAGTCTAATTCCTGAATTCTCCTTGAATGTATCAGGGTTAGCATGTGTTTTAGGTTCCAGTTCTCTAGTGGTTTACAGCTCTGTGTACTTCGGACCACTCCTGGATTTATGTATTCATCTTACACATGCCTGTACTTTGGGAGATGCATGCTCACACTCTCTTTGACAGCACTGGTTCATTAGCCCTCTGAGAACTAAGCCCAGCCCCACTTTTTCCCCTGTCCTGAGTCAAGCTGTATCTCTCATCCTCAACCTGAAAGGAAGGAATCTGTGGGTAAAGATTGAGCCCTGATTCTTGACCTCTTCAACCTCCCTCCAGGGGTGCAGGGCCCTGGCAAGTGTTTACCAAACCCTCCCAATGAGAGCACCTGACTAGGTGCTGCCTTGCCCTTGGGTTTTGCACCTATATAGACAGATAGATAGATGGAGGAAAGACAGGAGAGCCCTGCCCTACCCCGACACTGCACAGATCACTGTTACTGGTACCCAGGTGCCCTGCAAGATTCACAGTAATACCCGAGCTGCCAGGGAAGCAGGAATTTAGTCACCAGGACCCTTTGTGCGTGATCCTTGGGCATTTTGTTAATACAGAAAAATGAGGCGTGGTGACCTAATTAAGGGAATTTAGTAGGAGCTCCCTGTTCCTATGAGAGAAGTGTCTTATCACTGAACTCATTCCACATTTTTTGCATATACTACTACTAATAACAATAATAATTTTTATGTATTTTACTGTTTGCACATTCTCTGGAAACTACACAGCCCCTTCTCACCTATACCCAGGGGGTTTCTCTCCTGCCACCTTGACAGCTCTGCAGGGGAGAGCAGGTTGGGGATAGTAGACTGTGCTGTGGCAGTTTGTCACTGGACAGCATGACCTTTCTCTCTGCCAGCAAGTTTCTCTTTATGCTGCAATGCTGAAGAGCTAGAGAGAATTCCACTGTCTGGCATACCATGATGTGGTGAGCCAGTCCCTTTTTTTAGAAAATGAAGTTGCTTCTAATTTTTCACTAGTGTAAACTGTAATAAACACCCATGTAGTTAAAACTCACCTACCTCCTTAATTGTGTCTTAAAGATACATCTTCAAAATGAAATATCTAGACCAAATGAATGTTTAAAGGCTTTTGATACATGAACAAAAATTTATCTATCACATTGCCAATGACAATTTAGGTATATGGAGTTGATTTCCTTATTATCACTTCATGGATCTGCCTGTCATGACACTGTTGAAACTCTAAGCTTTTCATTTCCTAGCATCACAAGTTGTTTTTCTTCTCTCCAGCGGTTTTCCTTTTCTTATTAGTAACCATAATTTTTCTTTTGTGTTCAATACCATTTCCTCTCCAGCCATCTGCTTCTTTCAGCTGCCAAGCACTCCTCTTGGCTGCTTCCAGTCTAGTCTTGCTCTGTGAAAACCCCACCATATGCCAGGAGCTTGTTGATTCAAGACATGGAATATCATGTCTTAGAAGCAGTGAACCACTTGCTCTTGCAAAGATCAGCTGCACGTTTTGATGCAGAAACTCTCCTGTATCTATGAATGAGATTTTTCTTCTGCCTTTTCCTCACCTCCAGAAGCATCTGAAAGTGTTGCTTATTTATTTTCTGTGAATTTCCAGACTTAAAGCTCTGTTTCAGCTGTCTCATCAAGTTGTCTTAATTACATTTTGCCACTCAGTACTCCATGCCACCAATACTCTGTCTTTGACCACTGCACCAGAGTTCCTCAGCTTTGCTGCTAGATACATTTGCAGCTGAGTGATTCTCTGCTATGGGTCTGTGCTGTGCATTGTGGGGTGTTTATAAGCATACCTGGGTCCTACCAGATGGCATTAGCACCACCAAACCCCACCCTGCCCCTGCTATGATAACCAGATATCTCTGCAGAGATTATCAGCTGTACTTTGAGAGGGAACATTGCCTTGGTTGTTAAGTCCACTCCAGGGTACTATACTGGTGTGTGTGTGTGTGTGTGTGTGTGTGTGTGTGTGTGTGTGTGTTAGAGATTAAATCTAGAACCTCATGCATGCTAGGCAAATGCTCTACCACTGACTCACATCCCCAGTCCTAGCTCTCTTTTGAGGGCTGAATCACCAAACAACCAAGATTCCATGGTGATCTTGAGGGATGTTGACATGTAGGTCACAAAGCCCCTTTAGCAAGCAGATCACAGGGAGCATCGCATCTCAGATTCCCTGGATTGGGAGGGGAACTTGGGAGCAGAGAGAATGACAGGGGAGTGTCCTGCTGTTCCAGGTGGTTCCAGCAGTGACTTGAAGAAGGGTCAGGAAAGTCCCGTGATGCTGAGCAGCCATGGTAGCAGGCCTCTCAGGGCACACACATCAGCCAGCCTCATTCTTCCAACCTCCCTCCCTCTTCCCAAAGGTTGTGTGCCCACTCCCAGCCCCATGCACATGCAGGGAAGTGTATTGGCAGGTAGCCTGGAAGGTCTCTTGTCTTGAGCCTTTTTCAGAAAGCACCCTACCCTGCCTCTTCTTGACAGAGGTTTCTAATTTCTCAAGTGCCAGAGCCCTCCTGTCTTGTACAGGGGAAAGTCTGACATTGCAGTGCCACACAGACACAGCTAACTGACCACCAGTTCTGCTTTCTCTCTGCAAAGCCTCAGCCTCAGCCTCAGCCTTGAGGCAGCACTGGAACTCTCCTGGCCTTTGAAACTCCCAGGAGTCAACACAAAGAATTATGTGTCTTATGGCTTTTTACAGATAAATTGGTGCTACCAATCCTCACCTGCCCTTTCTATTCTCACCTCCAAAAGGTTGTAAGTGGTCATAAAATACTGTGAAAGCAAATCAGCTAGTATCTCGGCAGTTCAGACGAGCCAAGCAACAGTGGCAGCAGACAATGAGTGGATGTGGGATTTGGTCCTAAGTATTTTCTAAAGTGCTGAGTGCTGACTGCAGCCTGATTAAACCAAATCCTGCTTGAGAGAACATCCCCAGACAGTTTACCTACACAGAGCCATCTTCTCTTCCAGTATTTCACTGTGCTTTGGTTTCCTTCCCCTGGGAAGGAAGAATGGGATCTTAAAACCAGAGTGTTCCTTTGTTGATGCAGACTCTTTCCCTTAGTCCTACAGCATCTTTGGTCTGTTTGTTTCACTGAAATCCCATTTTGAAAAGCTATGCTGCATATATGCAAGAGCTTTGATGTTCCCTGGCTGGTAGAGAAATCTAGATAATAGAGATGGGCTCTGCCGGCAATGCCAGCCTTTGCTATTTATGTCCCAAGATACAGCTCAGCAGGAAAGCCTCTTTGGGGAAGGCAGACTTGACTGGCTGAGACTAAAACAAGGCACATTGGGAAGACATGGACTTCTCCTTGAAATCCTTCTCCCCTTTTAGCAAATGCTTCCTGTTTGTATCTCCTCAGTACCCCCAGCATAGGGTGTAGGGGACCAGAGACTGGGGACCTTGTAAGCTAGTTCAAAGGGAAGACAAGCTGTCTTTTAATTCTCCTTATTCAATAGGGGCTTTTATGAATGTGATAATGATAGTTGTCCTGTGAGTCTCTGTGCCTCAAAGAGCCCTTCCTGTCGTACAGTCTCTGTAAAGTGTATTGACATCTTGAACTTTTTGTTTATTCATTCAGTGATTAGTTTGGGGATTTTATTTTATGATTTTTTTTTAACTTTCAAATTTTCTTCCCTAAGTTTTATCATTCTCTTCACATAAAGAGCAAATGGCTTCTACTAGTCCATCCTCAAACCAACTAAGATAGAAATTATTCAAATAGAACTTAGCCTCTACAAGGAAACCAAAAATATTTTTAAATATTTTTGAATTTTAATTGGCACATAATGTATTTATGAGTTATGGTATAATATTCCAATGCATGTATTCAACACATAATGATCAGATCAGAAGAACTGGTACGTCCATCACCTCAAACAGAACATTCTAAATCCTCTCTGCTGGCTGTGTTGAAATGTGCCCTTAAGCCATTGTCAGCCTCAGTTACCACAATTACGTGCCTTGCTCCTGAGCACTAGAAGCCCTTGCTGCTGTCTAGCTGCATGGCACCCAGGACCCTTGCAGCCACCTGCACATCCCACACATCATATTCCCTCTCAGGTTAACAACGCCATCCTACATCCTCTGCCCTGACCACAGTCCTGTCAAAAAGCCTTGTGTTTAAATTGGTAACTCTAGAAGCATATAATTCTCTTCCTTTCCAAAAAGATTTGAAACTTTACCTTCTGGATAGGCAAATACATTTTTTAATTCTAGACAATTTTGAAATTGGATAATAAACCATGTACTGTTTTTTTTAATTGATGGTATTAGCAGAGTTGTACATTCAAGGCCAGTACAGAATCTGCTGGTATGTTTTGGAGGGAGTCGCTATTTGGGATGAGAAAAACCAGCCTCATGGTTTGTTCCATGATCTGTTTTCCACATCCTCTAAGCACTTTCATTGTTCTGCTGCCAGCCTGTCCCCACCAGTACTTCATGGCAGAGAGTTTGAGAAGTAGCTGACAGGCTCTCCTACAAGCACTGTTCTTAGCACTTGCTGTGTGTGTTTCCATGAGAAAATCTCATTGATTGGTTATAACCTACTTAATCCTTAGCTTGATGAACTCTAAATATATGCATAAAATCCTACATTGCCACAAACAAGACATAATTATCAGATTCATTCTACTATCCTTCTTACCCCATACCCTTTCCCTCCCTTCACTCCCCTCTATCTAATCCAAAGTAACTCTCTTCTTCCCTAGCCCCACCCACTATTTTATTGTGAATTAACATCTACATATCAGAGAAAAAATTCAGCCTTAGGTTTTTTTAGGATTGGCTTATTTTGCTTAGCATGATATTCTCCAGCTCCATCCATTTATAGGCAAATGCCCTAATTTCATTCTTCTTTAATATTCCAAGAATTTTCAGTTATATGTCCTCAAGATAGAGTGGATATCAAACACAGTTGGCACAAGGTTTACAAATTCAGTTCTGTGTTCTGTGGGACGAAATAGCTATTTGTTTGGTCAGCCTTTTGAACATGTTAAAGATTTAGTCATCACTTGCCTTTACTTAATGTACCATACAGTAGAAATGTTAGGACAAAAGCATTGTGTATCTAAATTTATAAATGATGTATTTCTGTTTTAGTAAGAGTTTCATATCCCACAATTTCTCAAGGATTATTTCTCAAGAGAAATAATCACATTGAAAGTTTTCAACTACAGAACAATTTTATCTACTTCAAAGTGTGACCCTAGCTGCACCACTGCTCTGTTGCCTGGTTGATGTTGGTTAGCTAGACAAAATAATGTCAAATATGTTTACATAACCCTTGAAAAAGTCCAGTCATTTTCATTAATGAAAATCTCTTCTTTAATGGATACTGATACATTTGCCCCTATTAACTCAATGAAAGTTTGAATAAAGGTCAGTTACATCAACTGGCTTTGAAATAGTTCTTTTTCTTCTGTGTTAACCTGCCAGGGGGCCATCAATGTTCCGAAATAGCAAAGAATCCCTTTTGAACTGTATCTCTAGTTGCTATCAAAGATTATCTATATTCACATCCATTGTGCTTTTATTTCCTTCAGAGTGTCTCTGTAGCTATTAAGAAATGAATGTAATAAAAGGTATTTAAGAGCTACATAGATGGCATTTCAGAGCTAAAGAAAGTTGTCTACTGCTATAACTATTAATCCTGCTTTATTGTGGAGAAGTTGGAAAAGTGGAACAAGAGAAGAGCCAGCAAAAGATAATGCGGTTGCTTTCCCTCTTTTTACACTTCAGCTGTCACATTTGTGATGAGCCCGCAGACACTACTTCCCTACGCCCCCTGCTCACCTATCAGCTCTTCTGGAAGAGGGAAATCTCATCCTTGTTGAGTTGACATTTTGTATTCTTATTTTTCCAGATCTTATTAGGTCTTTAAATGATAATGTTAATTTAAAATGTTTAAGGGGATGATAAAGTAGAAAATAGAACAAACAAAATAGCCAATGCAATATTTTTCTATTTCTTGTTACATTAGTAGCTAGACTCCCTGCTCTATCTGGCTTCCTTTGTGAAGCCAGTGTTACTACTGCTTCATCATCCAAGTTGACACACTTGCAAAATGACTTGTGTCTTTCCCTAGTGTCCTTTCTGTCCAACTCAAAGAGCGGGGCAGGTCTCAAATAAGGAACCAGGAGCAGTACGACAAGGGCGTTTGACTTTCAGTGTTTTTGTTAATACTTGGAAGAGGTGTGCAGGCTTCATGAATAGTCATCTAAAGGCTTCATGCAAAGTTATCTATAAATGTTTTTGATTTAAAAAACCAAGATGCTTTATGTACTGAGCCTCCTTTTTATAAACTTGAAACTGAGTGACAAACTCATTGAAAATGACCTTTAGTGGGATGTCCAACATCCATCAATTGACATCATTTAGCTCTGACCTAAGCTAAGCTGTATGATAATGGAGAGGAAAAGGTGATGGAGTTTGAATTTGTCTCTTGGAAAATAAGTAATAAAATTCTGGAAATTATTTGTGACAGTTAAATAACTTTATAGTATCTCTATCAACATTTCCATTTTAATGTTGCAAGGATATGAGGCAAATGTCTATTTTCTTCCAGTAAAAATTTCAAGACTAAGGAACTTAACTCAGATTCTGGAATAGAGTTTTGTTTTCACATTTATTTACATATACACACCTACATACAGATGGATGTATATAAAATGACTGTGAGGAAGCTTAGTGTGTGTCATATATGTTATATTGATTTTAAATACATTAATGGATACAAATGGGCTGAACGGATTGGTACCCCACCCTAAAATTATAAAGGAATAGCTTTGTTTTACTGTGGTTTTTCTCAGAAGTATGAAAATATTTTCCCCAAATATATGCATATTTCATTTCTGTCCTTTATAATAATTGCCTTTGTTTTTCACAAAAGTCAGAAACTTCATGTAATCAAAGGTCAGAATCATTATTTCAAATTTTAATATTTTTAAAAGTCATAGTGAAGATAGAAGATTTGAAGTGTAGACAAAAATGAAAGAAACGTTTTATCAAAGCATCTTTTATAATTGTTGCATGTTTTTATGATGCATGTTGCTTAGGGAAAAGCACCATCTCCCATTGTGCTTTGAATCTTATTTGTTCATTTAACTTTTATTGTTATCATTTGTCCAAGTTGCTATAATCTTTATAACTCTCATTTCTATTGGTGGACTGGTATTTCTTTGTGCATATAACCCATAATCTTAAAATTATGTGTAATTAATTTTTAATTACATGTTCTCCCATTATTCATTATGTTTAATTCAAAGCAAATTTAACTATCGGGATTGCTGTAAGATCCAGATTTGCCTATAGCTCATGTCAGTGCATCTAATAAACCATAGCAATTTTTTCTCTTTCATCCATTCTGTCATTTTTTTGTTAGATGCAATATGGTACCACAAATCAAGCAAATATGTATTTACAAATTATATAAGAATTAACCACAGTTATGCCTGAGTTATGCATAAATTATTATAATTTTACATTAGTGCAGGCTTTCCATTGTTGATAACTTCCTATGCAATAGTTGATATATGTAAATATAATATGTACTACCTCGATCTTTAGCCTTCCTCCACCCATCCAAAACCGCCCCATCTCTGCTTGTTCTTTGCTGTGTAGGTTGTGTCAGAATAGTTCTCAGAGAGCTAATCCTGGGTGGCTTGCAATTGCAGTCACTTTTATACATATCCCAACCCCCCACAAACTCCATCCTAAGCTCTCTGTGGCAGGAATGGCTCTCCTAATCCCTGAACAGGTGACCCTCCCTGTCGCCAATATTCACTGGATTCTATAACACCTGCTTTTGTTTTGTTTGTGATGTTTGAAGATGGAAATATGAGGAAGTTGTTAAAGACGTTTACTCTCTCATTTTTCTTCCACGAGTGGGATGGAGTAGGACCTCTTCCAGACTGTGCAGAACCACCCAAAGGGATCCAGATGCTGTGGAACCCCTCCATAGTCAAACCCTACCTCACACTGCTCTCTGAGTGCTCAAACCCAGACACGCTGGAAGGGGCGGCAGGTGCCCTGCAGAACTTGGCTGCAGGGAGCTGGAAGGTATGGCTAGTTCGTTACAATACAAAAGAATCTGGAGTTGCAGCAAGTCTTGAGAAAATAATGCAAGTGTAGTTCCAAGGGGTGCATTCTAACAAACAGGTTTAGGGAAAAAAACAATTATATTGAGTTGTTGGGCTTAGAAAGTTGAAAAAAAAAACTAAAAAATGAAATTCTTCTTAAGGTTTCAGAGGTCTTTGAAGACCACTGGTGAATAATATGATCATTGAAAAGGCTGTGAAATTCTTGTGATTCTATGGGGACAGCTGAGCTGCTTGACTTTCAGGGACAATTGTGACATGTGTATGTTTTCAAAGCACCATCATTGGCTGTTAAGGAAGCTAATCTGCAAACACCCATATGAGTATTCTAGATGTTGTACTGGATCCCAGCCCACAAGAAGACCCCTTGCATTTTTAAATCGTCAGCTTACAGAAGAGAACAGTATTGTTAATTCCGTTTGCAAAAATATTTTTAAAAATGTATGAGTTTTATGAGATTAAGAGGGTCCTTTCTCCAAGTCCTTATAAACTGACACTATTCCTGCTTGATTTTCACAGAAAATTCTCAAGACCCCGATTTTTGATAGGAAAAGATTCACCAGGGGGAAAAAAAAAAATTCTTGACTGTGGTCATCATAGTTACAAGCTCCAATTTGCCTTGTTGCATTAAAGTATAAAAATGTGTGACCACTCTTAGAGAAATGAAGATAGAATGTATGGGGAAACGCAAAGAAAAAAAACATCAAAAAAAAAAAAGTTTTGATTTTGCCATCATGTTCCATCCATTTAATATCAAAGTCAGGATTTGGGATGTTCATAAACCACTCTTTGCTTTGACATTCATTCTCTTCAAAGTGATGTTAACATTGACACATAGCTACAGAATTTTCAGAAGCTCAGAGGCAAAGATGTCACTTGTCCTGGCCTCAGATTATCATGTGACTGCACATTTCCTTGTGCTCATACGGTCCAATGTCAGCCTTCTTATCATATCTCTCTCTCTCTCTCTCTCTCTCTCTCTCTCTCTCTCTCTCTCTCTCTTCCATTGCCCCAGCTTTTCCTTCCAGCTGTGACATCACAACTCATGGGCCTGGTCCCTGAGTGTGCCTGGGGAGCTGCTTGCTGCTGTGTGGACAGGCTCAAGCTTCCTTGAGATCCTGAGGAATGAACATGATTGTCCCTTTCCCTCCCTGCCTGTAAAACATCCCTAGTGTTTCTACCTACAGAACTCAGGTCAAGCCAGGCTGGAAGATGTCTCCTACTTTCAACCAGAGAAAGGTCCAGACAACATTCAAAAGCAGAGTCCCACTAGGCAGAAGGCCAGAGTGTGGCCTTATAGGACTAGGAAGGTCATTAATGGAAATCACTTCTTTGAAGTGTCCCTCACATCTCATGTCCCTGTAAGCTTAACATAGTCCAGTAATTTTTTATTCAAACCACAGTTCAAACCCAGGACCTGCCTTTTCAGAGGGTGGTGATCTTGGGCAGGTTACACCTCTCGTGGGTCTCACATGTGTCATCTTCAAACAGAGAAGACCATAGCTGCCAAGCACTCTACCATGCAGATCCATCACCACCTGGATGCAAAGATGGGAACAAGATGGCATGGCCCAAGGATTGTCACGTTTTGTGACCAAGAGTCCCCACCAGCACCCCTGCCTTATAGCACTACCTCAATAGGCATGGAAAGGAAGGGGACTGTGAGCTGAGACTAACCTGAGGTACAAAGACCTGGATATCCAGATGGTGACAAATCTAATGTGCTATCTAAGTTCTGTATTTAACCAACTACCATGGTCCCTGAAAAAGATATAGTTCCTTATTATGATAATTTAAAAATCATGAAATGTCTTTGGGCACTGGAAGATTTTGAATATAAGACTTTGACTTTTAAACTCAGATTCTTTATGTTCAAAACGTTAGGAGGATCTGGCAGGAATATGTAAAAGACTCAAATCAAACTTCTAGAGTTGAAAATAACATGTCTGAAACTATGGCATTTCGTTGCATTTAAATGGAATTAATAGAAGATTATTGTAAAGGGAAAAAAATGTGTGAACTTGAAGACAATATGGGAGATTATCCAAAAGAAAAGAAGAATGCAGAGTGCATCTTGAGAATCGAGTAGTCTTGAGAAATGCAGTGAACCCTCCCACAAGGGAAGGAAGAGAACAGAAAAGAAAATATTTAAGGAAATAATGGTTGAAATTCTTCACATTTTATGAAAACCAGAAATTTGCAGATTCAAGTAGCTCAAGGAACCCAAAAAACAAGAAGCATGAAGAAACGATACCAAAGTACATTATAATTCAGTTGCTCAGAACTGGTAATAAAAGGAAAATCTTAGAAGCAGCAAGCGAAAAAAGACATGTTGAATACCAAGATCCACCTTTCATCTAACCAGCGAAGGTCAAGAGCAGTGTCATAGATCATTTATCCCTTCATACCACAAGTCCTTGCTAAGCGGCTAAGACTGACTCTAGAAGAGAATCTGGGCTGTAAGCCCCTGAAGGGCCAACACCAACATCCACTTGTCTCTGTACCCCACTGCTTGGCTGAGCAAAGATGTCCCAATTTTAGATTATATAATGCCAATTATGAAAGATGTGTAACAATTATTCTCAGCATTTAACCCAAGCAGTACCTGTCCACACGTCTTTCTTGTAGATGATATCTATTCATAAACATCTATCTATCAGTAAGAATTTAGTAGCATATTAAGGACCAAGCCATCCTCAGATGGTCACATTTAAGACCAATTACTTGGTCTTTTGATTCAGATACAAATATGCTTTTTATGCTGAATAAAGTTGGTAGAGTTGTTTTTGCAGAATCTGGGCTCAGCTGTGCTGGCAAGCTGCAGGTTTAGAAGTGTGGCCCTGCTCTGCAGTTTCTGCAGTGTGGAAGTATCATGCAAGTTACCAGACTCCTGTCTCAGGGGAAACCAGGCCAGCATGAGAACTGCTGACAAGTGTGGGTAGTTAGGTGTTAGGAGTAAGAAAATGGCAGATTTGAAAAATGTTCTCTATTTCTATGTTCTCCAATTATCTCCTACTTTGGATTATATAATACCAATTATGAAAGATGTGTGACAATCATTCTCCATGTATTCTGGAAAGAGCATCTTGCTATTTCCAGATATAAGCCTATGTATTAGTGTAGCACAGTTGCCCCAGTGTGACTACTGACCACACACATCCAGGGAACATTTATTTGGTAAATTTTTATAGAGTAAATACTATTAAGAAGGCGAAACTGAAGTCAAGAACACAGAAGTTGTTCTGTATTTTAGACAAAGTTTAACAACTAACCACTGGAATTCCCAGTCTGCATTGTAGACATGAACTAGAAAATTTAGATGCACAGTAAAAAGTCAGGGTGGATACCCTGATGGCAAAGAGAGAAGAAAGAGGAGTTAGGAAAATTAAACTTATACATGCAAGAAAGAAAAACTCCCAGAGGTTGTTCTAATAACTGGTAGTTATAGTGCTGACCTCTGTCGTCAAGAACATGTTAAATTGCCACTAGTAAATTTTAGAAGACAGAAAGAATTTTAGAATGCCAGCCTTATTCTAAGCTCAGATTCCCAAATAATTCTAGACAAGTGAGTTAGTCCTCGAGCAGGGTGAGTTGCTACTAAGGAACATTCTGTGCAGTTGTAAATAAATATATACTTATGTAGGGTCTTTTTTATTAAAATACAAATACACAGGTACATATATAACTCAATCACATTATCAACATCTATTACATAATTTATTAATTTACAATGTGGGAAGGGAGGTGGACAATTCTTGGACAAGATTGGGAAAAATTTCATTGAACCAAACACTAATAAATTACTTCAAGAAAATTGAGAATTAAGTGTGCAGAAACCAAGCAGGGAAACCCTTACTTTCAAAAGTCTATTTCAAAAGACAGTTCTTGAATAATTAAAATATTGACAGGATACACAATAGAATTGACTTTCACACAGATAGTATTGCTGTCTGAAATCTAGAATCTAAGAATGTGTTTTTATAGCAATTGTCAAAATTTAGTGGTATTTCTTTAGTGTCCTTAACTTTTTATGGCCCAACAAAAACAGAAATGTGAAGGTAAAACACCAGAATTTTGCATGGAGACAGCTTTTTATAGACCTCATTGTCTGAAACAATAACTTTCCTTTATGGGAAGAGCATGCACACTCTTTTTTTTTTCTGTAACAAATTGACTAGCAAACTAGATCTTCATAATGGCCCTAAACACTTTTTAAAGTTTAAAACATTCATTACTTGGTTTATGAGCATCAGAAAAAGATAATGGCATTATGTAGAAGCAAAGTGATACATGTTTTTCATAGCCGACATGGACATCAGTTACCTTTTTCTCATTTACAGTACAATGGTTTTGTTTGTGGCAGAATATTAAAACAATTGGATATAGTAGCCCGAAGATTTCCAAAATGTGAATGAATGCTCCTTCACTCTATTTGTGGATATTTCTATTGTAATTGAGCTTTATTGAAACCCAGGGATTAAACTACAAAAATAAAATCTGTACTGGCTATGAAGTCAAGCATGTTTGATACCTTTGTATTTTCAATTTCCCCCCTAAAATGTGAAAATGCTCCCACTGGTTTTAAAAATAAGATAGGAGAAAAGAATACTTGGATAATAATACATCAGTATTTAATGAGTTAACATGATAACAACAGAAACTTAGTGAAGAAGGAAACAGAATGTGTGACCACATGGACCAATTGAGTAAAAAATTTAAGGGAACCAGGAAGTTCGAGACTTATTCTTACAGACAGGGACAATAGCCTTAGGAAGGACACTGATTAACATAGCTTAGTGCTCAGTGGGCATGGGGGGAAGAGAACCAGGCAAGATTAGGGGAGTTCAACAAAGAGAAGTTAAAGTCATGAGTTCACATCTAAGACAAAGTGAATTGCCTCTGTCCCAGTTAACAGTGTGAGGAAAAGCATGAGGTTTAAATGCAAAGAAAGACTATTTTGAAAAGAGTTTTGAAAGATTATGAAGAAAACGGGGCATGAAGCATCATCCCTCATGGGTTTGGACTGGGCCAGAATCTGCACCAGGGTATCTGAGGAATCTGCTCTGTTGGAAGTCTCCCAGAGACAGGGCTTGAGTGGAGCTGATGTTCAGCCTGAAGCAGGAAGGAGAGGCCCACCCTGAGGAGCAGGCCTAGCCCACAACCACACATGACTCAGCAGTTCCTTCTCTAAAAGAAGTACTGAGAATACCCACCCAAGAGCTGTACTGTCTGGCAGATGTCATCTGTATCCACACCACCTGGGCAGTGGACCCATTTTCTTTTTGATGGTCATTGATTTCAAAGATTTCTGAAGTCCTAAGTTTGGAACTCCATTCTGAAGTTATAGAAACCACTAAACCAAAGGAACTTTCACTTCCAGCTGAGATAGCAAGATGGAGTTGCAAAGCTCTGATTTACCCTCCTTCAAAGAAAAACTACAACTGTAAAATGGAAATATATGAAACAGTGTGGGTTTTTGATAAGACACTAAGCATTAGTCAAGGAAAGACAGTGATCTCCAGAGACAGGAAACAAACATGATGAGCCCTGTTGGCCTCAACTATGCCAAGCCATGGCGTAAGGACTGAGAACCCCCAGGGAAGCCTGTAAATGTTCTGCATGGACGAGATGGAGCTGGGAATCTGGGGAGATCAAATGGACTAGAGTTCCTAGACCTGGAGATACACAGAGGATTCCCCTCCCTACACAGCAGAGAAACATCAGCACGTGCATATGAGGGAAATACCCAAGACTGGAGAAGGCCATCTGAAATTACAAGAGAGAGTGAAATTCAACACTTGCATAGGATGGGTATAGTGTGTGTTTCTAAGAGACAGGAAAACCTCATAAAGCATGAGCCATCTGGTAGAGCACTTAAAGGATCTTGCCTCCATGTGAGGAATAATTAGCTCTGGACTAAACATGTGCTAATCTTTCCTGTTGAGTCTTAAATGTGACATCCAAACACATCAATATTTTCCAAGAAAATTAGTTGTATTCTAGAAGAAAGCTTTAAAATATCTGTGGGAATACAAGAGCACCCAGTATTGAATTTAAGAACGTCTGGCATCCAGTTGAAAATTACCCTGTTATCACATAAAATTTTTAAAAAAGTACAATTCATAATGAGAAACCAGCTCAGAACTGACAGTTAAAATTGGCAAACAGGAATTTTTTTATAACTTTTAGTTTTATATGTGTTCATAAATTTAGATAGAAACAGAACATACATAAAAGAATGAAATGAAACTTCTAGAATTGGAAGTACAATGAGTAAAATGAAAAATAACACATTAGATATCTGCAGATTAGACACTGTAGAAGAAAAAAATAGTGACCTGGAAAATGGGAATAGAAACTATCTCAAATAAAAAACTGAAAGAATAAAGAAAACATACAGGTTGTTAATGAACATCATCAATTAGTATTTGGAGTCACCAAATGAAACGAGAGAGAAAGGAGCAAGAAGACCAAAAAAGTTGAAGGAAGAAAGATTTTAAAATTTTCCAAATTTAATGAAAAAAATTGTACACTTGCAGATCCAAGCAGTTCAAAAAAATCCCAAACTCCAGAAACATGAAGAAACCATAGCAAGGTGCATCATGATCACATTTTTCAAAACCAATAATAAAGGTAAGCACTTAAAAAGCAGTCAAGGGGAACCTATGTTCGTACAAATCTACAAAGATGAGGCACCACATTTCCCATGAGCACAGGCAGTGGGAAGACATCTGTAACACTGAAGAAACAGGGAGCCGGCTGCACTCCTCCTATAGTAAACTGGTCTTAGTTTGGTATCTAACAGATGCAACATGTTCCCGAAGAAAGCATCCAGGTTGCTAATTACATTAGAGCAGCTGTAGAGCTAGCTATAAATGGAGACTCCTCCCAAGCCTGATGAGAGCCTGGACTAACCTGGAAATGGACAGTGTTCATCACCTGGGCAGTGGTGCCAGAGAGAAATCCTAACATAAAAACACCACCTGAATTGGACAGCACACTCAGAGAGGTGGTGGCTGCCATGTGCCATCCCAACATCCGGTTCTTCCCATCCTGCAGAACAGCAAGCGTGCATACACCCTGAGTCAAAAGCTCCAGCTCCCCACACAGGGGCCACAGGATGAAGGGATTCATGTTCCTCCCACTTGGAACCCTAGCAACACCTTTGTGGCAGTGGTCATTACCCATCTACCCCACTAATGACAGCAGTGGCTTTCATCCTTTCTTCATAGATCCTTTCAGAGGAGAATGCTATTGTTGAAAACTAAAGCACTTGATGCTGTAAATCAACCTGACATCTTCTCTTGTCAATTAAACATGTAAAAATCTCCTGTGGCCTGGAAACTGGAAGACAGTTAAAAAAAGGAAAACAATATGACTTGGTCTCTTTTCTTATAATAAACCTGTGAGTAAAGAGTTCAGATAGCCATTGTATTTTCTGTGCTCTGAGTGTGTGCAGGTCCAGGGTGACCCTGAGGTCACTTTGACAAGGAAGTGGTAAGGCAGGAGGAGGCCCACTCCCAGCATCATTGGTTAAAACCTCAGAGCAAGGATTCAGTGGTTTAAATTCCCTTTAGTACTCTAGTATAGGCCATTATTTAGGGAAATACCAGCTGCCATAACAAAGGAATTTCCAAACATGCAAGGGCCCAAGCAAGAAGGAAACAGGAAGTCCCTTTCTCTTCTGGTGTCAGAGTAAGGGCAGGGGTTAGAGGCAGGAAGCCCCCTCCAGGAATTAATTCACCCAAACTGAGAGCTGCTCTGTCATCTTCAACATGTGGCTCACAGAACTGCCCACATCACCACTGTCCACCAGCACGAAGCCAGAAACAACACAAGAGACTCAAATCCATCACAGGAAATATTCTAATATCGAAGCAAGGTCACACCTATAGGTCCTTTCTTGTATCTGGGCTCCACTCCTGGTCACCAAAAGACAAATGCTTCCCGAAGATCCTGCTCCACCAACATTGAACAAGAATTTGCAGGTAGGTGATCTAAATCCAGATTCAATAAAAATAAAGTTCTCTCTTCTAGTGGGACAAGGATTTGCTAATATATCGAATTCATATTACAAAATGAAGCATTTACTATCTTAGTAAAAAAGAGTTGCACTTGAGTCACTGACTACCTGAGCTTCTACAACAACTCTGCTCTGCACATGCAAGACTACATGGCCTCACCAATGTCATCCCTCCAGACGATGCCCTAAAGTCAAGTTTCAGATTTCCCCTCCACATCACCTAATGGAAGAAGTGGTTTACCATCTTCAAAGTAGAATGTTTTCTGGATTTAAAAGAAAAATATGAAGTTCACCCCCTCTACGCTTGAGGGGCTGTACTTAAAAAGACAAAAAAAGAAAGAAAAAAAATACACACACACACACACATACATACATACATACACACACGTTAAAGGAAAAGTTTTCCAACCTGCTATCTAATAAGTGAGAAGAAGAAACAACTGAATTATTTTTATCAGATATTGAATAAAAAAAATATGGCTGTATCTGCCCTGTCTGTGAACACAGTGACTGAGAGCCTAACCCTTCCCGTGTGCATGTCTGCATCTCTACTGCGCAAAGGGCAGGAATGTCAGCACCTTCATCTGAATTCTGTCCTGTCAGTCACCCCTTCTCAGTGGTGTGCTTACAGTGCCATCATGAAGGAAACACAGGAGGCTCAGAATAAGATCTAATCATCTTCAAGCCTGCCAGGCCTCCCCTCTACCAGAGCCACTCTTAATCACCAAAAGGCATTTCTAAATGTCATCACACATAATGATGATCTTTGATAACATTTCTAATAAAAAAATAAATAAAATCTTCCTGTGTTCAGACAGGTTTATTTAATTTTTTTTTCAGTTGTAGATGGATACAATGTCTTTATTTATTTATTTTTATGTGGTGCTGAGGACCGAACCTAGTATCTCACACATGCTAGGCAAGCACTCTACCACTGAGCTAAAGTCCCAGCTCCAGAAAGGTTCATTTTTAAAGAAAAGTTTTTTTTTTAATTGAAAATTACTGATTCTTAAGATAGCTGAAGAGCCAGAAAAACAGGTATACTTGTTCTTATTTGTTTAGCAAATGCTTCCTCTGAGTCTCTTGCTCCAGCCTGACCTTCTTTATCTGTTCTTACTGTGAAAGCACATCAAAATGCTTTTTTCCCCCCAGGAAACTCTGTTGGCTGGAAATTTATATTTTCAGCATGAATACATGCAATAAAATTCAGTATTTGCACTAATCTGATTCACATTTAAATAATATAGTCAGACAAACAAAAAACACTTTAAACATACTGTAACTACCATTAACTTAATCAAGATTTGATGTATTCAATTGATTTATTGCTTTGCAAACATAAGGAAATCCTTCATTAGTCCTCCCAATTAGAGATACCACTTTAAAAAATAGATTTTAGAATTTTGAAAAGAAAGCTATATAATCCTAAAGTATAGCACTGAATTTAAAGAGCTGACACCCACGTCCCACATTCACTGTAGAGAAACCCATCGTG